GTCCAGAGCTGGGGGACCCCTGGGACCCCCAAGAGCAGCGGTTCTGGAGCTGGGGGACCCCTGGGAGCCCAGAAAAGGGCAAGCCCGGAGCTGGGGGACCCCTGGGAGCCCAGAAAGGGGTGATCCCAGAGCTGGGGGACCCCCCCAGGTAACAGGGAAGGGGGATCCCAGAGCTCTTTTCTTCCCCAGCTCTATGGGAACCCTTTTTGGGGTTGAGGGTCCCTGCCTCAGTTTCCCCTTGTGCATCGGAGGGGGGAGGGGGCAATGGCCAGGGGTGGGGACTGGTTGCAGACCCCCACCCCTCTGGGTCGAATCATCGCAGTCCCCTTTCTTTCCCACCCACGTCTGGGTGGGTTTTGGGCTGAGAGCAAGTGGTTTTGGGGTTGAGCCATAGCCAGGAACGTCGCTGACCTTGGCCTTGGCCCCTCTCCAGCTCCAGTGGGACAGGACTTGCAGGGCCATAACGCTGGTCCTTCTCTTCCCATAACCGCATTTCTCAAGCTCTTTATACCTCCCCCACCTCCCTTTTGAGGATGGATCTTTGTATTTATAACGCCGGTCCCACAGATTGGCCATATCTTGGTGTTTTGGAGGTTTTGGGGCTGTATCTTGGTGGTTTGGAAGTTTTCGGGGCTGTATCTTGGCATTTTGGAGGGGTTTGGGGCTGTATCTTGGTGTCTTGGGGGTTTTTGGGGCTGTATCTTGGTGGTTTGGAAGGTTTCGGGGCTGTATGGGGACACCCAGGGACCCCCGGGCAGCTGAAGTAGGGAGCCCAGAGGGGTCGGGACCCCTGGGATCCTCAGGACCCCAGAGTGGGGACCCCCAGAGAGGGGGGACACCCCTGAGACCCCTGGGAGCCTGGAGGAGGGGGGGAGCCTTGGGATTCCCGGGAACCTGAAGTTGACGTTTCAGAAGGTTTTTGAGCTGTATCTTGGTTCAGAAGGTTTTGGGGCTGTATCTTGGCATTTTGGAGGGGTTTGGGGCTGTATCTTGGTGTCTTGGGGGGTTTTGGGGCTGTATCTTGGTGGTTTGGAAGGTTTTGGGGCTGTATCCTGGTGGTTTGGAAGGTTTTTGGGCTGTGTCTTGGTGTTTCAGAGGGTTTTTGGGCTGTATCTTGGTGGTTCAGAGGTTTTTTTGGGCTGTATCTTGGTGTTTCAGAGGTTTTTTTGGGCTGTATCTTGGTGGTTCAGAGGTTTTTTGGGGCTGTATCTTGGTGGTTCAGAAGGTTTTGGGGCTGTATCTCGGTGGTTCGGAGAGTTTCATGGACACAAGCTGCTGGTGGTCTCCTGCCCATTGACTTCCCAGTAGGGATGGACTTGGGCAGGAGCAACCCACAACCCAACCTGGGGAACACACTCACAGCTTGTTTTTTCTGCCCCTCCCCCCCCAGGATTTCCCATTCCCAAACCTTGGCCAGACCACGAGGAGGAGGCTGCGAGGAAGAGGAGATGCTACGAGACACCCAGGCAGGTGAGGAGGAGTTTCCTTGACCTTTCATCCTCTCTTCTCCTCCATCCTCCAGCTGAGCATTGCTTCTGGCTGCAGGACAACCCTGTGGCTGACGCTGCCCTCCCGGCAACGGATGTGGGAGGATCTCCTTCCCCTTCCCTCTGGCATGGATGCAAATCCCTTTCCTCTCTTTGTTCCTTCCTCCAGCAGGCGATGAGATGGGGATGGAGAACACGGAGGAGAAACCTCCCCAGCAGAACCTTGTGGAAGAGGCTGTTTCAAAGGGGTCCATGGAGCAGGAGGTCAACGGGGAGGAAAAGCCAAGAAGATGCTCCACGGGGAGGGGTTGCAACCCTACCCCACGAAGCTCGGAGGAGGAAAGACCGACCATCTGCGAGGAATGTGGTCGGAGCTTCAGCCGTAGCTCGAACCTGGCGGTGCACCAGCGGTTGCATGCCGGAGAGAAGCCCTATAAGTGCTTGGAGTGCGGGAAGAGCTTCAGCCGTAGCTCCCACCTCATCACCCATCAACGTCTGCACACCGGGGAGAAACCCTACAAGTGTCCCGCCTGTGGGAAGAGCTTCAGTGACAGCTCCACGCTCATCACCCACCAACGCTTGCACACTGGTGAGAAGCCCTACAAGTGCCCCGACTGTGGGAAGGGCTTCAACCAAAGCTCCAACCTCACCTCCCACCAACGCACCCACACCGGTGAAAGACCCTACAAGTGCCCCGAGTGCGGGAAGAGCTTCAGCGTCAGCTCCTACCTGATCCGCCACCAGAAGATCCACACCGGGGAGAGACCTTATAAGTGCGAGGAGTGCGAGAAGACGTTCAGCCAGAGCTCCAGCCTCATCATCCACCAGCGTGTCCACACCGGGGAGAAGCCCTACAGGTGCGTTGACTGCGGGAAGTGGTTTAGGAACAGCTCGGACCTCATCAGGCATCAGCGGACACATACGGGTGAGAGACCCTACCGCTGCCCCGACTGCGGGAAGAGCTTCAACCGCAGCTCCAACCTGATGACCCACCAACGCATCCATACCGGGGAGAAGCCCTATGAGTGTCCGGAGTGTGGTAGGAGCTTCACCGTGAGTTCTGCCTTGATTAAACACCAAAGGACCCACCGGGAAGAGAAGCCCTATGAGTGCCCCGACTGCGGGAAGAGCTTTATCCGCTGCTCGAACTTCATTACCCATCGGAGGACCCACGTTGGGTAGAGACCTGGTGACCCGTGTTGGGTAGAGACCTGGTGACCCGTGTTGGGTAGAGACCTGGCTGGCGGTGCCCACATCTTCCTGGTTTCCCCACAGGGACCTGGCTGTGGGACACAGACCAACGGCAGAAATTCCTTAGGAAGAGTGGACTTGTTGGCTTTAGACTCCAAAAAGTCACAGCTGCTTGGTCCAATAATGGGAAGGGCTTCAACCAAAGCTCCAACCTCACCTCCCACCAACGCACCCACACCGGTGAAAGACCCTACAAGTGCCCCGAGTGCGGGAAGAGCTTCAGCGTCAGCTCCTACCTGATCCGCCACCAGAAGATCCACACCGGGGAGAGACCTTATAAGTGCGAGGAGTGCGAGAAGACGTTCAGCCAGAGCTCCAGCCTCATCATCCACCAGCGTGTCCACACCGGGGAGAAGCCCTACAGGTGCGTTGACTGCGGGAAGTGGTTTAGGAACAGCTCGGACCTCATCAGGCATCAGCGGACACATACGGGTGAGAGACCCTACCGCTGCCCCGACTGCGGGAAGAGCTTCAACCGCAGCTCCAACCTGATGACCCACCAACGCATCCATACCGGGGAGAAGCCCTATGAGTGTCCGGAGTGTGGTAGGAGCTTCACCGTGAGTTCTGCCTTGATTAAACACCAAAGGACCCACCGGGAAGAGAAGCCCTATGAGTGCCCCGACTGCGGGAAGAGCTTTATCCGCTGCTCGAACTTCATTACCCATCGGAGGACCCACGTTGGGTAGAGACCTGGTGACCCGTGTTGGGTAGAGACCTGGTGACCCGTGTTGGGTAGAGACCTGGCTGGCGGTGCCCACATCTTCCTGGTTTCCCCACAGGGACCTGGCTGTGGGACACAGACCAACGGCAGAAATTCCTTAGGAAGAGTGGACTTGTTGGCTTTAGACTCCAAAAAGTCACAGCTGCTTGGTCCAATAATCTCTTCTGGTGGCATCAAGCAACACTGTATGGACCACGGGCTTCTTCCACAGCCAAATGGTGGCTGGATTTGGGCACAGACCAGGATTTTTGAAGACACCGCTTGGGACTCAGCTTCTTTGGGAAGGAAGAGGTAGAGTGGAAAGAGTCCCACAACCCTGCTGGGACACACTGGGCCGACTTCTTCCTCACTTACAGGTTTGGGTTGGGGTTTTTTTTTTTCATGTGATGTTGTTTGGTGGCATCATTCAACCCCTGTCCTGCCCGTCTATGGTTCGTCTTTGGATGAATCAACTCATGAGTTGTCCAAAGGGCTTCAGAAGAGGCTCCCGCGACATCTTGGGGACGGAGATGGGCACAGCCCAACTCCACCTCCTGCTCTTGCTCCTTTTGTGCTGGCAAAAATAAGCAGAACTCAGCTGCAATAAACTTGTCCTCCACCCACTGCCTTGGTATGGCCTCGCTGAACCCAAAACACCTTGTTTTCCTCCAGGCTGGGGCTTGGCTGTCTCTAGGGTTGACTTTTCCCAATAGTGCTGCAAGGATGGGAGTGGTGGGACAACGCCGTGGTTGGGTGGAAGGCGAGGAGGACACGTGGGCTCCATGGTTTGGAAGGACAGAACCATCAGCACCAAATAAACCTCATCCATGGTTTGGTTTGAACCCTCGCCCTTGTCCAAGGGGAACGGAGAGGGTTGGAGAGCCTGATCCCAGGTCCAGGGTCTCCACCCCATCCCCACCACCCCTGCAGTTGCTTCCTTGGGGGGGTCCTCAGGCCCTCCGGGTTCAAAAGATGCTCCCAGCCACCCAAAATTGGGGAATTTTTTCACTTTTCCCCTCTGAAAAAGGCTCTTCCACCCACATGGCCCCCACTTCGTCACCACCACAGAGATATTCCCACAATGGTGTCGTGGTTTAACCCCCGCCGCCAGGAACTTGGCCCCACGGAGCCGGTGGGAGGGGGGGAATTGGGAGGGGAAAAATGAGAGCACTCGCGGGGTGAGATAAAGGCGGTTTAATAGGGAAAGCAAAAGCCGCGCGCGCAAGCAAAGCAAGGGATTCGTTCGCTGCTTCCCATTGGCCGGCGGGCGTTGAGCCAGGCTCCGTCACACGCAACGGTGACTTGGGAAGACAAACGCCATCGCTCCCAATGTCGTGTGTGTGTCCCCCCGCCTTTTTCTCCTTCTTCCCCCAGCTTTACACACTGAGCATGACGTCGTAGGCTGTGGGATATCCCTTGGGATCAGCTGGCCCTGGTCGTGGCCCCTCCCGGCGGCGTCTCGAGGACCCTCAGCCTCCTCGTCGGTGGGGTGGGGTGGGGTGAGGAGCAAAAAAAATGGCCTTGGCTGCGTGTAAGCCCTGCTCAGCAATAACAAAAAGATCCCGGCGTTGTCAACACCGTTGGCATTGTCAACACCGTTGGCATTGGCGTTGTCAACACCATTGGCATTGTCAACACTGTTGGTGTTACCAACACCGTTGGCATTGGCGTTGTCAACACTGTTGGTGTTACCAACACTGTTGGCATTGGCGTTGTCAACACCGTTGGCATTATCAACACCGTTGGCGTCGTCAATACCGTTGGTGTTGGCGTTGTCAACAGCGTTGGCGTTATCAACACGGTTACCAACACCATTATCAACACCGTTTTCAAGACAAAGCCCAAACCGCAGCCCCCCCGCAAGCTACGGTGAAGAAAATTAACTCCATCCCAGCCAAACCCGGCAGAGACGCCGACGGGCGAAGGCTTTTATGGCGGCCGTGGTTTTCTTGTGACCCATCCCTCAAAAAGATCCTGAACAGGGTTGGAAAAAAAATAAAGAAATGGAACCGAGGCGTCGAGCTTCTTGGGTGAAGCTCATGGGCCTTCCCTCCCTTCCCCTCGTCTATAATCTACGGCAAAAAAACAGCGGACTGGGGGTGTCTTGTTTAAAAAGCACCCCCCCCCAAAAAAACCCCCAACTTTATATAAAAAAAAAGAAAAATAAAAGCTGGTGAGCGTGTGGGTTGGTTACCCCTCGGTGCTACCACCCAGGGACCGCCATGATGCGTAGGTAGGTCTGAGATGCCACCAGGATGGGGACAGTCCCCGGTGGGGTGGTCCCCATCTTTGGCTGGTGCCTCTTGCGACGCGAGGCGAGGCCGGTGCTGTGCCAAAAGCTCTTGCCACCACTCAGCGCAACCCTAAGGCTTCTCCTCGCTGTGGATCTGCCGGTGCTGGATGAGTTGGGTGCTGCTGGTGAAGCTTTTGGGGCAATCCAGGCAAATATAAGGTTTCTGCTCCAGGTGGGACCGCTGGTGGACCAGGAGGTTGGAGCGACGGTTGAAGCCTCGGCCGCAGTCAGGGCAGCGGAAATCCTTCTCATCGTCGTGTCCCTGTTGGTGCTTGGCGAGCCTGGGGTGGTTGGCCAAGCCCTTCCCGCAGGTTGGGTTGGGGGGCTTGCGCTTGACGGCGTGCGTCTGCTGGTGCCGCGCCAGCTGGGAGCTGTGGCCGAAACGCCGCCCGCACTGCAAGCAATTGTAGGGCCGCTCGCCGGTGTGGATCCGCCAGTGCCGCACCAGTTGGGAGGTGTCGCCGAAACGCCGCCCGCACTGGGAGCAATCGTAGGGGCGCTCGCTGGTGTGGATCCGCCCGTGCCGCACCAGCTCCGAGCTGTTCTTGAAGCTCTTGTGGCACTCGGGGCACTTGTAGGGCCTCTCCCCCGAATGCACGCGGTGGTGGATGGTCACCGTGGACCTGTGCCTGAAGCTCTTCCCGCACTGCTCGCACCGGTAAGGTCGTTCGTCCGTGTGCGTCTTCCGATGCCGCAGGAGGGTGGAGCTGACGCGGTAGCTCTTCCCGCAGTCGGGACACTTGTAGGGCATGTCGCCGGTGTGGATGCGCCGGTGGGTGGTCAGGTTGGAGCCCCGGTTGAAGCGGCGGCCGCAGTCCTGGCAGCCGAAGGGGCGTTCGTCCGTGTGTATGCGGTGGTGGTTCACCAATGCCGAGCGGCAACGGAAGCTCTTCCCACATTCCCGGCAGGTGTTGGGTGCCTCATGGCTCCCGTTGTCCCCCAGGAGCGGGGATCCGCTGGGATGGGTCCTTGGGGACTGCTGCTGGCTGGAGGTTGGGGGTTCCACCAGTGCGTCTGCTTGCTCGGGAGCGTCCTGCTGCCATTCCTCCTCCTCCTCCTTGATTGAGTCCAAATCTGCCGGGGAGAGAGACCATCCCCAGCAGCTCTCTCCCGTTGAAGCGGGAACCACACCAGCTACGGCGCCGGGAAATGGTCAGCCAAGAGCCAGGAGGCCCCAGGAGAGGATCAAGGCTCCAAGGCAGAAGCCACCTCGAGAAAGGTTGGGGACACGGTGGGAGGAGGGATGGGGACATGGTGGGAGAAGGGGTGGGGTCACAGTGGCACAAGGGGTGGGGACGTGGTGGCAGAAGGGGTGGGGACATGGTGGCAGAAAGGATGGATTCATGGTGGGACAAGGTTTGAGGTCACAGTGAGAGAAGGGATGGGGACACAATAGGAGAAGGTTTAGGGTCACGGTGGGAGGAGGTTTGGGGTCATGGTAGGAGAAGGGTTGGGGACACAGTGGCAGAGGGGATGGGGACACCATGGCAGAATGGATGAGGCTATGGTGGGATTAGGGTTGGGGTCATGGTAGGAGAAGGTTTGGGGTCACAGTGGCAGAAGGGATGGGGACAAGGTAGCAGAAGGGGGAAGCCATGGTGGGACAAGGTTTGGGGACACAGTGGGACAAGGTTTGGGGTCATGGTAGGGGAAGGTTTGGGTCATGCTGGCAGGAGGGATGGGGACAAGGTGGCAGAAGGGCTGGGGACAACCATGCATTCCCCGACAATTGTCCCCACCAAAGCCACCTCTCAGCCACCCATCCAACCCCCCGACTTGTCCCCAGCCCTGGGGACTCTTACCCAGAGGGACCACGGTGTCCCCGTTCCTCTTCACAGTGTCCCCACCACAGGCTGTCGGCACTGGGATGAGAGGCGCGGCAGCATCTTCCATGGTCATCACCTCCATGGAGACAACCCTAGAGGGGACAACCCCAGGAGCCGTCACCTCCACGGGGACAACCCTAGAGGGGACAACCCTAGAGGGGACAACCCCAGGAGCCGTCACCTCCACGGGGACAACCCTAGAGGGGACAACCCTAGAGGGGACAACCCCAGGAGCCGTCACCTCCACGGGGACAACCCTAGAGGGGACAACCCTAGAGGGATGACCCCAGGAGCCATCACCTCCATGGGGACAACCCTAGAGGGGACAACCCCAGGAGCCATGACCCCACTTTTCTCTGGAGTTCCCCTTAGAAAAAGGGATTTCTGGGAAAAACCAAAAATCGCTGGGGTGGTGAGGAGGGTCCTGGGGGGTCGGGGGGGGGTGAAGGGTTGACCCACCATGGATGTGGGCATC